GCGTGGCAAGCCACACCTATAGTATAAAAAGAAGTAGAAGCTCTGTACAGGGGAAAAAAATTGTCCTCACACATCGGAGAAGCACGTGACACGAGACAACTGTTCCGATGTACTAAGCCAAAAAATTTTTACTTGAAAAAAAAAAGTTTCTTACTGTGGAATCCATTGCATGCGGTCAAGAAATATTTTGTCGGACTTGAAATTCTAAACATGAAGAAAAAAGATCCAGACAAAATTCTTAATTAAATAATATAAGGAGCAATCGTTAAAAGAATGCCACTCTTCTCTCGCTCCTGAAAAATTGTGCCGTTTTGGCATAGTACATTTGAACAGTTTGCTGACGACACGAAAAAGCAAATGTTTAAAAACACAAGAACATACCCCCCCCCCCTAAAAACAAACAAACAACAACACCGAATTGCAAACTCGCCCAAGGGTGATCCAGTCACCAGCTAGCGGTAACATTAGGGTAAGAATAAGACAAACCAGTGACACAAGATTTGGGACCTTATGTAATACGAGAGAGAGAGAGACAAGCTTATGCTCTCTGTAAACTAAAGCAAACCACCTCTGACAGCATTTTTTTCTTCTGTTATTACGCAGTTAGTCCACAACAGAGGTTCTTAACCTAAGTTCGATCGAACCATGGAGGTTTGGTGAGTCAGGGTTTTAAGTAAGGTGACGGTCAACATGTGTGTGTGTTTGTGTGTGTGGGTTCCCGCTCTGTTCACCCCACTTGAAGGGTTCGGTGAAAGAACACAATACAATATATGGGAACTCGCAAAGTTCAGTACCGGTACATAATGTACCTCCAACAAGGTTAAGAAGAACCACTGATCCACAGAGTAAAAGCCTGCTCACTCCATATATTAACAAGGTCCTTGAACACAGCTGGTGGGGTGGTGGGGTGGGTGTGATGGGCTGGGTGGCACCACTTCACAGTAGCAGCAAGCCCAGAAATACTGAGCACGCGTCAAAAACATGGCAGTGAATAAATTAAACAGACAAGTAGTGTGTCTGCCAGCAAGAGATCAAAACCTCTACACGTGTAGTACGCTACAACGGAAGTTCCAACATCTGAAAGTGTCAGGGATAACGCAATTAAACAAACACTCCTTTAAAAAAAAAATCATTCGGACATTTTATAACGAAACAAAAATTTCTTCCCCTTTATGTAGATGTTTTAAGCTCCCATCAACACAATTTTGATCATTTAGGTGGCGGGCTACTTCTACTGTACGAAGGTAAATCCTCCTAAGTCTTAATCATTTAAATAAATTGTGTTGATGGGGGTTAAAAACAGAAAAGGGAGACAAAAAATTTAGCTAACGAGTAGTTTCGTTAAGTAATTGAAGTAAATCATCAAACGGTGCTTTAAAATACTAATATACAAGCAAGATCCAAAGACACATGTACACAGTCACATATTATGAATACATCAGCTAGTTCTCAAGAAAAGAGAAAAGTTTCATGGTCAGTACAAGGGAAAGAGAAAATGGGAAAACCAGAGAGAATTTGCTCGTCTGAGGAAATTGGCATCTCTGCTTGTCTGACTTGTCACATGAGAGGAGGTCAGACAGTGACGAGAGAGAAGTCCCACCATCAAATCGCCAGGGAGAAGTCCCACCATCAAATCTAAACTTTTGTCAAACAGGAAAACTTCATGCAGAGCAACGCGGCGAAATCAGTCGCTTGTTACACTCAGCTGTTTCCACATATCGGGAAAAACCCCCCAAAAAAACCAAAGCAAGCAAAAAAAACCATGGGTTTTCTCAACACTTCAAGTTTTTAACTCGCCAACAGTAACCGTAAAAGCAAGCAGACCCCCAATCGTTTCCCTCGGTACAAGTCACGTACCAAAGCTGATGAAGCAAGCTCGTCCCAGTCCCATCTCAATGGATCACAGACAACATAAGCCTCACTGAAGAGAGAGCTCAGTGAAGACCATTTTGAAATAGTTAAACATCCGGCACTCAAATCAAACATCCTTACTTCTCATCGACTTATAAATAAAATCTGTCCGGTCCGCAACACCACAATTAAGTGGAATAAGACTCGGTGCCCTGACACGGAAAGAATGGTAATTACAGCTGTGGGATCTCTACATATTTTATGTAACATCCATCTCAGTCACGACGGAGCCAAGGGTTGTTTCGTCGGTTTTTAAAAAAATTTCCCCACATGACCTAATTTTTTTAAAAAGCCGTTAACCCACTGTCCACATTTCTCATTACGATCACCCGAACATCTGCCACTTCAACGTGTATTTTTTAAAAATCACAGCAACATAACCAAATGATAATTAGTCACGAATAGTGTGGATATAACGCGGCCATAAAAAAGAAATTTCCAACTAGGAAACCACCAGGGCTGTGGCAAAGGTAGACAGCAATTGGAACAAAACTTTAGACTAAACCATATGTCGCGTGGGTGGACAGGGAGGTAAGGGACTAGGTTGTTTGTTTAGAAGCAAACCACACCAGAGCACCCGCCAACCACCCACAATTATTTTGCCATGAAGTCACAAAGTCAGACAGCTAGATAGGCAAACCATTCCAAATAAATACTTCAAATTTTCAAACCCAATGTTTACATGAAGCTACCATCAATTCAGAAACCTGTCAGGTATTTACCGTACATCCACGCATTGCAAGCACTAAGGAATATATACAGTCGAACGAACCTGCTTTAAGTCTAAAACAATCAACTCTGCAAACAACTACTTCTCACTTCTTCCTTCACAGCATAACGACACTGGCTAAGACATCCACCTGTCAAAAACACCACTTTCTTTCTCGACAATGGGTGGCTGTCTTAGTCAATTTCAACAGTACTTAAAATCCATTATATTAGAGTCTACCATCCATGAATTCAGTAACATATCATCATGTACATACATACATACAAAGGCACTGCACACACTACAGTATTTACATCATGTAATACACACAACACACTCATCCGACATCACATCCCATAAACATCCTCCATCTACTCCACAGAACAGACTTCAAGATATCATAAAAACAAATGAAACCCACAGGGGGAAAAACTGGTGAGGTCCAAACAATACGCTCCTTTCTTCAAACCCCCCATTGTGCAACACAATAACGAGATAAAAAGAAAAAACCTGGTGAAAAGAACCAGTAAGTGAATATTTCATTCCACAGCAGAAAACAAAAACTTCACAAGAAAGAAACTTGGAAGTCTCTGGATTAAAAATTTTCTGACGGTAGGAAAACATGACGTCACCAGTCTTTCCCCATGCAGTCTTCAAATGGTGAGCAAAATTGAAAAATCCAAGCAAAATGGAATCACGACAAAATCTAATACCATCTCATACATTACATAGCATACATCTAAGCTTTGGTCACCGAATGCAAATTAAATAATCATCAAGTAGCGTAGAGTTGTCATAGAGATGCTTACTGCTGCCTTCATGACGGGAATATAACAACACAACTCAAGTGAAGGATCACACGATAATCCTGTAAGACATGAGTCATTCATTAAGACCATTCAGCAACCTGCACAACAAAATATCTGCATCAGCTGATCATAACCTTCAAAGAATGTACTCATCAGAGTAAGAAGAATACAGACTCAAAATTTACAGATCATATTGTCCTATACCTCTTGTATCAAGAAGACTTTTTATACTATAATTGCAACAATGCAACGAACATGTAAGTGCCAGAAGTCTGTCAAAATACAGACAATATGTTTTAGGAACTCTGATTTATCCAGAAACTTGGAACCTCTGATAAAAATCATTCTATTAGTATCAGTGTAACAAGGATAGAACACAAATTCTACACACTTATCAGGACAGTGGTAAGCTTTGACTTAAACAGAAAAAAAAACCCTTGCAATAGAAAGTCGGAAATTCTGCAGAAGATCGAAGCCTGTCACTTCTGCCAAAGATGAGAAAATAAAAAAGTAAAAGGACAACAGTGGCAGTGCACAGAACAAAAGCAAAATGTCCTCAAACTGTCGGCCGACATAAGACAGGTTTTCTGACAAACTTGCGACACCAGAATATATCCCACGAAGACAACTTGCTGCACTAAAATCTCTGAAGTCTGAAGCCCATTCAAAGTAAAATTGTAATACAAAAAGCCTCCACAATGGCTTTGGTGCCCATGCCTTAAAAAAACAAACAACAAAACAAGCAATCTTCCACTCAATGTTTTAAAACTATAATGACAATAAATCTTAAAAGACGTATAGTGTCTATGGCTTTGGTGCCTATGCCTTAAAAAAATCAAACCAATCTTCCACAATGTTTTAAAACTATAACGATAAATTATGTTAAAAGACTAGTGTCTGATAGCTTACACAAGCTGCATCAAAACTACAACGCAACATTTCTAGACCCAATCCCACCCATCGTCAGCCTCATTCCACGAACGCTTATGCCATTTTTTTAAGCTCCGAGAAAATTTATGAAAAAGAGAATACATAAATCTGAACTATAACTGATTAGACACTATAGTTATTTTTCAATTAGACACTACAGTTATTTTTCAATCATAAACTTGCGGGGGGGGGGGACGCGCGCAAACAATGAAAGTATAATGCAAGGTAGGTGGCCCTTGATGTCTTTAATCGAATAACAGCTTTCATCTGGGGAACCCCCCCCCCCCCCCCCCCCATATTTTGTGATTTGAGCAATTGTGGAACAACGCAGACGATATCATGATCTATCAAAGTTCCCTTTACTCCGACAAAGAGAATGTCACGACTATTTACAGTTGCTGGAATGTGTGGAATGTGCAACAAAGGACCCAACAAGAACAAGAGAGAGGTGGAGAACGAGAGAGCACAAAGAACCAATCCCTGACACAATGTAGTCCCACCAAAACAGCCCCCCCCCCCACACGTACATGATATGTTAGCTTTAAATGAGCAGAAGAAATGGGGAGACCTTTCAACCAATGAGCTACGTTCTTCAGTAAAAGGTTTTGAGGTGAGAGAAAAGTACCCCCCCCCCCCCTCACAGTTCCCTGTTTCTGAGAGAAGATACACTGGTTTCAGCGTGGTGTATGTAATCGTACCGTTATGGACACTGAGCAAAGACAACCCTTGATGCAAACAAAGCCAAGGAACATCCTCTTTCTTCTCACCCAGCAGCAAACAAGTCAACAGGCAGTCGAAATAAACACACTTCACCAGCTGTATGTGTATTCCTTACAGTTGAGCAAGCCAAACAATACATTATCAAGGTCGCCGGAGACGTCAGAGGTCGGCGGCGGGTCATCGGGCAGTCAGGTGTAGAGCGGTCTGCGGGGAGAGGAGACGCCGAACAAGTTGGCCTTGACAGAGGCCGGGGACGGAGCTCCCGACTGACCCTGGCTGTGTAGGAAGCTGGGGTAGAGGGGCTGGACGGACGTATTGTACATGCCTGGGGGGGGGAGGAGAGAGAGGATGATTGTGATAACTTGTGTGTGTGTGTATTTATTTATTATAGTAGAGGGTTTTACGGTGCTCGCAACTGCATACGGTCATATGAGCGCCAAGGGGTGGGTGTCAATAGAGAAGTCTTTACAGGGAATCAGACTTACCCTGCTCACCTCTCTAGCTTCAACAGCACAAGGTCTGCTTCAACTATCAAGGAAGGCACCCCGGAAATAGTGGGTCACAAGAGTGACAAACATATAAAAGAAGTAGAGGAAAGTGACAATAGTAAGGAGTAGGAAAGAAAAAGCAGCAATTCTCTGTTGTAGATCAGGCACAGTTATGAGCTTGACATGAATCAGTCCATTTACAATTCTACTGTGCTTGAACGAGAAATGTCCCCCCTCTGGGAATGGCCTAAAGACACTACAGTCAGTGGCACTGCCCCGGGGAGAATTGTGTGTGTGTGTGTGCGAGCGTGTGTGTGTGTGTGTGTGTAGGAAGCTGTGGTAGAGGGGCTGGACGGATGTATTGTACATGCCTGGGAGGGGGAGAGAGAGGATGATAGTGATAACTTGTGAGTGAATGTGTGTGTGTGTGTGTGTGTGTAGGAAGCTGGGGTAAAGGGGCTCGACGGACAAATTGTACATGCTTGAGAGAGAGGGGGGGCAGAGAATGAGGACGATTGTCATTTGTGTGTGTGTGTGTGTGCATGTAGGAAGCTGGGGTAGAGGGGCTGGACGGAGGTGTTGTACATGCCAGGGGGGAGGAGAGAGAGGACGATTGTGATAACTTGTGTGTGTGTGCTGGGATATAGGGGCTGGATGGAGGAATGGATGAGAGTGAGGATGATTGTCACAA